GCAAGATCAAAATCCTAAACAAAATCTCTAGATGTTTATTATTAAATTTTGTTTTCCTCTCTACAACCTTGGCAGGGGGAGAGAGAGAGAGACGTGAAAAGAGAGTGGGAGGGAGAAGGAGGAGGGGGTGGGCACATGGGGGGAGAAGTGACAGAGGGTGGAGGATGGTGATGTTGGTGGATGTTGAAGAGAATGAGGGGGAAAGAGATCGAAGAGAGGGTGGTGATGTTGGTGGCTATCAAACAAAGGGAGAATATATCATTATTATTTCAATTTTTTATTTTTATTATTTTTATTTCTATATTTATTATTTTTAATATTTGAAATGACCAATATGCCCTCATATTTAACGGAAAATTGGATGAAATGTTGAGGATTTAGACGGTAGGGGGGAAATTGGTGAAAAAAAGGTTCATATCCTTAATTTTCTGAAAAAAAAAAGGGATAGGGGGTTAATCAAAAGTTATGTACAAATTTCGGAGGAAAATCACTAGTATACCCTGGAAAATATGTTGTTTTGCATCTTGGTATGTTTCTGGATACATTAATTCTTGATAGTTTGAGGACTTTGATATAAATGACGGCTTCTCTAACTACATGCATTAGCAGCCTATTCCAACGTAACAATTCAACACTCAAACATTGGGGAGAACGAAATTAAGTAGAACCACAACAGCATGCTTTATGAGTAAAAGTTGAAGTCTATATAGTTACCAGAGAAAACATGATCGAGTTAATTTCAAGCAGTTTCTGTAATCTGTGTTTTTTAGGCAACCCGACCACTAATCCCAAAAACTTCATCTCATCATATATCTTACACCACATGAAGAGGCAGAAATAAGTAGGGAGATAATTATACAGGGGTGCAACCCGACCAAGCTTATTATACGTACAGTGCTAAGTGATGATCATGCAGATTTGTGGTTCGGAACCCAGACAATATGATCAGTGGGAAGGAAATGGCAGATGGGAATGGTTCCGGGCTTAACTTTGAGGATTTGGAAGGACAAATGGTTTGGGTTCCATTCTGATGTGTCTAGATGGCAGACGGCTACTAATTTAACCTTCACCCCATCATCGCCTTTCAGGGAGAGAACATAAGCTGCCGTTGGTTTTATTGCATGGCAGTAAAACACAGCATAGGGATAGTTCTGCTTATGACACACGACGACTTTGTCACCTGCCAGCTTCTTCAGTCCAGGCATTATTGTATACTTGTGCATGGACATGGTGGCTCCTTTTTCCAATACCTCCGTCGAGATTGCTTGAACGTTTCTTGTTCTAAGCTTCGAAATGCTAAAATCAACCATGGATTCTAAAGATGTGGGGCAATATTGTTCCTCTCCCTTAATGCCTGGAGCTTCACACTCTTCGATTGTTTCCTTAATTGTTTTGGCTTCCACAGATGTTGGCTTCATTGAAAAATGGTTGAAAATTTCTGATAGTTTGTTAGAGGAGAAGGGGATCGATTGAGCACTTTCGCGTGGCAGGAAAGTAGCCGTGTTTGAATTTCTAGGGAATTGGAAGTTCATTGTTGCGCCAGGGCGCATGTCCTTCATGAAAAAGTAAATAGTTACGTTTTTATAATGTAGTGGATTGTCAGCGGAAGAACCATAATGTTTCCCGTATTTTTGCAGTCTCAATGGGATAATTTCAGGTTTGCCCTTGTGGTCAGTTGGCTTTCCATTCCCAACAGCATTCATGGTATTTGTGCTCTTTTCTTCATTTGTGGAGTCTGCAAATTATATATCAACGTCATAATGAAAAATAAGTGATCAGCCGATTTAAGAGTGAGTGGCACATTTGTGAATATGTTGCCGTGCATACTCTAGTACCATACTATAATTACTCATGTACCATACTATAATTACTATAATTACATGTTATTAAGAGATATCTAAGATTCTAAAGTGCTTAACACAAACCAGGATGAAGAAGTTCACTGATAGCTCTCGGCATCTGTGTGTTTGGCAGGACGGAGTTCCAGTAAAGTTGAGGTGCTGGTTGGGCAGCATGGTTTGCCAGTGCCACCGCTGCTAGCTGCAACATTAATTCGAACTCTAATTAAAATCAAATCACAAAGTGTAATTAATTAGTGGACGACACTTACGTACTAGATAAAATCGGAGAGAATTATAGGATGAACACAAAACTTTCCTTCATATAGAGTAGAATGAGAGATAATGGAAAAGTTAATCAAATTGCAGAGCTTACACTGAGAAGAGCAAAGATGAGTGGGAGATGAAACTCCATTGGGACTGAAATTAACTTGGCAACAGATGTAGCTAGTGGATATGAAGCAAGAAATTAAAGAAAGTCGGAGCTGGCTCTTATGGTAACAATAGCAACTGGCTTCACCATTTTATAGACGAATGGCAAGTGGCATGATGTGATGTATCACACATAATTGTGAATATACAATTGTGGCATGTGGGAAAAAGGTACCCAAGGTTTTTGAGATAAAACCTCACAGCTGGGTGGTCTATAAAATACATAGTTAATCATAACAGATGTATCTATGGGTATCTTGTTGGAATTTTAAAAGATTTTAAAAATTTAACTGTTTTATTTATTTAATTATTTTCTGTTTTATTTTATTTATTGTGGGGGTTATAAATATTTTATATTCAGGTTTTATTTCTGGTTGGTGAATGCCTTAATTTTTTGGTTGGTGAACTTTTATGGTTGGTAAAGGTTACATGTTGGATGCCTATAAAAGGCCACTTCTCCTTCACTTTTAAAACACACACAGTACACTATCAGAATATCACATACCACAATCACCACCATAAACTAATTCTCTCCTTTTCTACTTTTATATATATTATCTACTTTATATTATTATTTTGGCAATGGTTCTGTGACTTGGATACCCATATCCGTCTATGAACGTGCTCATAGCGGATCTTGAGTTTGTGTACAAGGGGTCGTATCTTGGAGTCTTGTAGACCGTCAGTACCTGCACGTAGGGAGGCTACAAAGGCTTTAGGACAGCGTCTTTGACGTGCTTCACCGTACCAAACTCACCTTCTTACTTATTATTTATTTTCCTTTTACTTACCTATTATTTTGTTTTCTTCAATTTCATTATACCTTAAAATCTTTCCTATTTATTTATATGTTATTTATAATATAATGTTTTTGTGTTTGGCTTTACGGAAAAGGAAAACTATATTTTGTATATTTTTTATAACATATCTTTCCCTGACACCCATGTGTATTGCAACAAGTGATATGAGAGCAATAATTGGCTCGGACTAAAATAAATAAATTAAAATAACATACGTCTGGTTCAGTCTTTTGTCTTATACAAGTCAACCCAAGTCCATGCTCTGCGTCTGCATTCAACTCTGCAAAAAGATAAGGTACGTAGCTAGAAGACATTAATTTGATCTGGCAAAACGCGTCTCGAGCACATAAACATATAAAACAAAAACAAATTCTATGTAGCCCATCTAGAACGCCTCACATAAACACAAGTGCTATTGCTTTAATACCTTTTAACTCTTTGACTAAAGCTTTTGCATTTGTGTTAGATTTTCAAAATGAAAATTACGATTTATTTTGGGTAGATGCAGTTTAAAGCTTTCATGTTGTCTATGCAATTTCAATTATTTTAAATATTGTTAGTACATTTATATTTTTATAATTTGTTGCTAACGTTTGGGAAATTACTGCTAGTGTTTGAAAATAAAAAACCTACATACTAATTTATGTGGTATTATTATTATAGCTCAACGTTACTGCTACCTGGTATAAATATCCTATCAGTTATGAAATCAAAAACTGATTTACTCTGCTTTTGATTTCTTTCAGCCATTAGCCTTACAACATCATGTTATATCTACAACTTTAATATATTTATATTTTAATTACTATCAAAATTTACTTCAATGTCATTGGAACATTTTATTGCTACTCATTGGGTTATTTTGAAATATTTACTTTGGCGTCAGTTTTAGTTTTGGCCTATCTGTGTATTCAATTTTTATATTGATTATGTATTTTCATTTATGTGATATTATTGCAAGTTTTATTGAGCCTAATTATTCTTTATTTTGCTGGCTGTCATTGTTTCAAATTTGGGAGAAAAACGAACCGTTTGTTTTGTATAAATGCATTAGCTAGTTGGTTGATACATCAATGTTGAGAATTAGACCTTTTTACATGTATGGAGAATTTAAATTTGACAATTCTATTTTGTGCATATATGCCTATATATATTTCAAATTTTCGTCACTTATTTATGTTGTATTTAACTATCCAGATTTTGTGTGGAAATCATTTTGTATATTGTGACTATAACGGTTTCAGTTTTGAGTAATTGGTTTTATAATTTCCGTTGTAGAAGCTTTCCACTGGTATTTAAATGGGACAATTAATATAGGTTTTATTATTGCTTTTAAATTGAAGGTTCAATCCAAAAGAATTAGTGCTGCAATTCAATTTTGTCAAAAGCTTTATATTGATTGCTTCAATTGTTTTGATTTCATTTCACATTGTTGGGCACTACACATATTTGATTTCCAAACTATTCTTAATTGCCGCCTTATACAATTTAATTAAAAACTTTGGTGTAATGCCATAAAATTTGTTGGCACAAGCAATTTTCGTTGGTTATGCAAATAGGTAAACAATGGATTACTAAAGCAATTTAATTTCTCTAACTGTGGCTATGAAGACCAAGATAAGTAATCTCTACCTTCATTGCTCTAAATTGGCAATGTATTATATGACTAGTTAAATTCTGCAGAATGCTTTATTTTTTACTTTGAATTTTTGAATATTTTATCTAACTATACATATATATTGCACTAACGATCTTGTCCAAAGCTTATCTTATTTATGAGAATAGAGATTTATGTGATTTTCAAGCATGATGGAATCGAGATATTGGGGGTCGAGTATCATATACCTCCAGATAAGTTATACTAATCAATTCTCTATCTTATGCAATTGTGAGCATTGCTACAATGAATGTGGTACAATTTATTTTGGCTAATTGATTCAAAAATTAGAACTTTTACATTTATGGAGAAATTAATTTTGACTCTTCTATTTTGTGCATATGCATATATTTTACAAAATATAAAAATAAATGTCATTTTCTTTATTGAAATTAATTATCCAGATTTGTCTAATGGTCCACTCAATTCCTATAATCGTATTGGCAATAAAGTTATTAATAATGTTGGGTGATTATTTCAATTAACATGGTTAAGAAATTTAATTGCATTTTTTGTGTGTTGAAAACAGTTAAGCTTGGCATAAGTTTTTTTTCCGTTGAACTTGCAGATTAGAAATTTTATGGTTTGATTATATAGTATTGCTGCAGTTCTGATGTCAAAAGCTTTGCATCTGTTTTGGCCTCAAAATCGCTTTAATATTTGGAAAACTGTAAATTGCTATGATATGATTTTGTCTTAAATTGGTATTCATTTTGACATTAAAATTGTTGTTATAATGGCATTTAATTTTGAATTTTGATGTAGGGATTTCAACCCATAACTCATTAAAAATATTATTGGCATATCTTATGAATTTTAAAATTAATAAACTTTTGGTACAATGTTCACATATGTTGAAATTTTCCTTAACTTGTGGGGGTTGTTGTCTTGCAATCAATTTGCTTTGTAATTTATTATTTTTATTTTTATTTTGTGGCCAAAGTTGGAAACATTGAAGGGATGGCTTCTACGTTAACATATTTTTAAAATGTGAGGGTTGCCTTAATTTCATAACCTTGATATTATCTTTAAGTAATTATAAAATGAGCATTTTTGGAGAACTTGGTGTGAGTGAAGTTTTCTTATACTTTGAAATTTTAATATGAGACTAATTGTCTTAAATTTTGATATGAAAATGTGTGCAACTAATGATGGCCTTGGTACAAAATTTTGGTAGAGACTTCTTACTGTCTTATAGGTTCCTATAGAAAATCAAGAAGATATAATGACAACTTGGATATACGATCATGAGTTTAGCCACTTGGAGTGCACAAAAGGGAGTAAGAGTATCATGAAATACTCAATGTTTATAGTTAAATTTATTTAATGAATTAATTGTTATATTGTTTTTCATAAGTGGTACCAGGTGTACTCAAAGTTTCATGGACTTCAGAGGTACTCTTAATCATAAGATTTAATGTATGATGTATTTCCGTTATACTTAACTATATATCAATGCTTATTCAATTTCCAATTATACTGAGGTGAAATCCACTAATTATTTGTGTGCGAGATTGTGTAGGAAATATTTTAATAACATGCAGGTTTAAAGCGCGCTAAAATTAATGGAGAACAAAGATTGACCTACACTATATATGCCTTGTGAAGGCTAGTCTTGATATGCATGCCTCGTGGAGGAGGCTATTAATGCAAAATGTCGAGGGGGATGTGCTTAAGCCCATAAGGGAGTCACCTAGGGAGGTAACCCAACTTCTGTGATTGGAGATCCCATGAAGGAAGTTCAATGTGGTAGAAACAATCCATATTGCGTGACTCGTATAGCACTGATAAAATTATGGAGATATCCTTGAGATATTCTTCTGCTCATCCCTAAGGCAAAAGTGCACTATGTGTGGGATATGTTGAAG